TCCTTGTTGACACAGCAGAGAAGAAAAAAGTTCGTTGTAAAAAGGTGAATTATATTCTTGCGTTATCTCTCTTAATCCACACCTACACCCATACCCTCAAGATATAAGCTTCATATGCTTTTTCAGGTGATGAAACAACCTAATATCGTTCAACTGAACTTGACCAATGATGAGCTGTAAGCCAATTGATACCATCATAAATTAGAATAACATGATGACCAGCTTGATGAAATCTACGGCATACTGTTATAGCTAGTTATTTAATAACAATCTTGAAATTCGACAAGAAATATCGTATATGTAATCTAAACATGAGTATTTTATTCATATCACTTTGAAGATAGTATTTCCTTAATGAATACAATTGCGAATTATAAATAGGTAACAAAAATTTTCTTTTCTATTCTTTTCTATATATTACATATGCGTGTATTTTTTACGCCATCTATATGCTTTTCTACTCCTATAATGCGATTCGATGTTACTCTGCTGTAATATAAATGTTCAGTATTGATTTGTATGGATGACAACGTATTTCATGACGTAGATATACACGTACGTCAATCATACCAAAATCATATAACCATGACTTATGATACTAATCAATGTCTAATTGAGCGAATAAGAAAGAACATGTGTATATCTTGCAGTTAAAACTTTGACAATAATTTGACAAATCAAATCCGGTTTAAAAAAACATAAAGCACTTCGTTTCTCTTATTGAAGGACAAGGTTCTTTTCGTCATTAAATAACGAACACTTTGCATCGCTTATAAAAAAAAATCGATATGCGTTGTTCATTCCAATTTTTACTACGTCGTTTATTGCATTCACATTTAGTCGAAGTTATTCTATGTTTACAGGTAAGATCTATGCTTCTCATGAAGAATATTTATTTCAACTAAAACAAAAAGAATCTCGTTTCCTCTCTAGACATTCTATTATTGTTTGGCTGCATCTATTGCTCAATATATTTATAATTATTATCTTACATCATACATTCCAACAACAGGTAGTCTACCTCATACAACTTCACTACCAAAACAGAATGATTTTGGTCAATGTAAAGATCAATCTAGTTCAGCACCATCTCAGCAATGGGCTCAAGAACAATCTTCAAATCTATTTTTCTATCAAACAGTAGCAGCAAGTATACCTACTATTGTTATGACATATATATTAGGATTATATACACATGAACTTGGTAGAAAATTTGTTCTTATTTTAACTATGTTCGGTAATGTTTTTCAATATTTGATTTGGTTATTAATTATTTACTATCGAGTAAGTTTAAAATTAAGAATAAAAGTTCGAGATTATTCTCTATCTATGAATAGTTACCCGATTATTGGTGGTATATAGCTGCATTTACATCAAGTTTAGTTGGTGGTGGTAATGTTTCAAGTTTTATTCTTAATTTAATCATTACTGATAGTACAGAAGAATCAGAAAGAACATCAAAATTTCTTCGTATTGGTGCTCTATGTACAGCTGTTGGTGCTCTAGCTTCATTTCTTATTGGATTTTGGATTGAATATCGTGGCTATCTTGAACTTTATTGGACAGCATTATTTGTTCAATTATTAACAATAGTAATTGTCTATCGTTATATGAAATCACACACATTTGTACCTGTCATATCACAAAATTCATCTAATCATAATAAAACTACAAATATAAATAGTAAATGTAATCAATTAATAGAAATATGTACAGTGTTTTCACCAAGACATACATATCGTTCACGAAAACGCTCACTTAGTTTAATTATTACACTTATAGCATTTACTTTTCATTGTCTAGCATCATTAGCATTTGGTGTTCCATTTCTATGGTTCCAATTGAATTATCCATTTTGTTGGTCAGGTAAATATAATATTACGAATAAAATGTGATAAAAAAACTTCTTGATTTTTTTCTCTAGCTAAAGACATTGGGTATTATAATACAATATCATCTATTGTTTGGTGTATTGGTGGTATTATTGGAATGAAAGTTTTGACTTCAATACGTTATAGTGATGCTACTATCTGTTGTATATCACATATATTTTTTATTTTATCAGCTTTATGGACATCTCAAGCATATTATACTTGGCAATTATATGCAGGTTTATTAATATCACCATTTACAACATATCAAGGTTCATTAACATATTCGATTATATCAAAATGGTTAGAACCAAATGAAATCAATAATGCTTTTACATTTGTAACTGAAATCAATACAATTTTAAATGTATTTGGAAATTCATTTTTCAATTATTTATATTCGATTACAGTTAGTTATTCAAGAAATTTTACATTATTATTAGCAGCTGGACTTGGAATTATTCCATTTATTCTTAATTGTATCTTATATTTCGTAACTAAAAACATTCCTGATGAAAGTGATGATCGTGTTACAGAATGTAAACCAATATTGATACCAGATCATTTACCAATAAGAGTACCGGTAGGTACTGAAACGATTCTCTTACCAGCAAGTACTGTGAGAAAAATAATAAAAACTCAACAGATCTGAAAAATATTTTTATTTTTTTGATTTCAATTTATTCTTTGATCAAAATTAGTTATTTTTATTTTGTTTGCTTTTAATGTACAAAACCTATAGTCAAAACGAATAAGAATTTGTTAAATAAATAATATACTTATGAAGGATGATTACTGATTTGTTGTTAAAATACATTACGTAATAGACAATTACGAAGATAATCTTTTTTCAAAACTACATGTATTAATAAATTAAAAAACTAAAGTTTTTATTAACACTCTTTATCTTAATTTTACTAAAAATCAAAAACAAAAGAAAATGAACCTATGATGAATTTAAATCATCTCGCGAATAATAAAGAACAAGTTCAAACACAAGCGCACTTATAGCTGATAATGGTCCTCGAGACATTAATTTTGGTAGAACACCTCTCAATAATCCATGCATACCTTCTTCACGCCATAAACATTTAAGACCGTGAAACATATTATTATATAGAGTTGTTGATGATGTTGTACCTAATGTATTAATATTTTGTGTTTGAATACGTGTTTTAACTACATCTAATGGATTAATACAAGCTGATGTAATTGTTCCAGCAACAAAACCAGCTGCAAATTGTGGAAGACGATGAACATGACCTGCTTTTTCATCCGATGATTTCGACCATGTAATATAAGGTAGTATTGATGGACGATAAAGAAAAAGTTTTACATTTTCATAAGCCATCCACCATATAGATGAAGCAAGTGCACTAACAATAAATGTTGCACCAAGTCCACGATAATAACCTTTAATACCTTCGTTAACATAAATTTTACGTATAGCATCTAAAGATGATTTATATGGACTATTGGCAACTTGTAAACGTTGCACAATAACATCACTAGGTACATAAAAAAGTATACTAACAGCATCAGCTAAAAATATTCAAAAAACAACAACATGATTAATAAAAAAAACGTTTATAAGAGTATTTGAATTACCAAGGGCGCCAGCAATAAATGGTGCATAAAATCTTGTAGACATATTTGTTGCTGCATTGAGTTGATCTCTAGTAGAAATATAAACACCTAGATAAAGTCCATAAGCTGGCAAACTAGCGATATTTGAAAACCAAAAACCACGATATAACGGTGAAGCTTTTGTACCACTACTTGATTTTGTTAAACTACTGCGTATATGATATCGAAATGATTGCAAAAGTGTTAAATTACGTCGATCACTTTGTTCACGAGTTTTTATAACAAATAACCTATTTAAAATATTTAGTATAATTAATTAAGCTAATAATAATTATGAATTAAAATATAATACGTACGGATAGAAAACAGCATTTTCAAGAGTTGATGAAACAGCGATTAAAGCACCGAATTTAAATAAATTAACATCTGACCATTTTGTTGTATGTGGATCAAATGTTTCTTTTGTATTTTTCACTGTTTCTGAAATTGGTGTCTGATTATTAGTTTCGGAATTGACAGCACTAACAACCATGGCATGATATTTTTAACTATTTAACAATATATTTTCAGCCTATTGTACATTATACTATAGAATCAATGTAATACGCATCGAACCGCGTCACCTAATCAAAACAGAATAGAAATTCAATTGGCTTAACGGTTTCTCCAATAGGCATAACAGTATATTTAGAACATCAATACAGAGGTATAGAATGGACAAACAATATAGATATGCCAGTCCTAGTAACAAGTTTAATCAAATGAAGATATAATAATATCAATATTAATATTTGAGAAAATATAAAATGAAAATTAATAAAATAAGACATATAATTACATAATAAACTGTAAATCAGCATGTTCAAACGTAATGCTATTACACAGTTTTTTGTTAGTCATTTTTGAGGTAGGTAACTTTCTTGGCTAGAAAATTCGAAATACGATTTTTGAAAAGTTTAAAATTGCGTCTAGTAACTCGTTCAAAACTTGATGAGCGAAACGTCACGTTACGTAGACAAGTCGATATATACACATCTATTTAGTTTAAAAGCAAATGATCAATATACATATTTCAAAATTGATTCTCTTTTGTTTGATACAGTATAGAAAAATAATTCTTTATAATTAATCAATAAATGATATATTGATCATTATTTTTTTTTGTTCATACATGTAATAGTCATAGATCATTTGTCTTTGTTATATCATGATAAGAACTCGTTGATCATAACTGAGCTCAATGAAAAGCATTAAAAATTGATGATCGCAATGTTGCACTAGTATATTAGAATGCAATTCCATTTCATTCCGTACTTTTTCAACACTGAAACCTGTTTGTATTGAACACATAATCAACAATTTTTATATAGGTAAGAAATAAATCTTCTTTATCAACATTTAATGAGTCAGTAATTTCTATTATAAAAATTTGTGATAAGTTCCTCGAAATTATATCATATAAAACATGTTAATAAATTGATAATTTTTTGAAAAAGAATGTTAGAATCATATGCACATATACCATAAAAATAAAACATTTTTTATACTGTATTACATAGTAGAAAAAAAGAACTAGAAGAATCACATGACGAAGGTGAAGTATTAAGAAAAAAATCAATATTTTCTATAGATAGTCATCATTGAAGAAAAAAATATAGAATCTAATTCTTCATATCGATATAAACGAACGATGATTATATTTTACTTCGAAAATTTTCACAATATTTTCTATTTAATTTCAATACGAAGTTTATACAGGTGATTCTTGTATACCTCGTTTTTTAGTAGTTAAATCTTCCGTATGATTTGGTTGACGATTTGTAATATCATTTGCTGAATAGAATGTTGAATATTTTATTGAAGATAAATTATCCATACTTTTTCGATGTAAATTTCCTATACTTTTACGATGTAATTCAAGTAAACCGTCTTTAACATCAGTTGAAATACGATGTGGATGAAGTAATTGTTCTTTATCGTTATGTTTATCGAAAGAATGTTTTGTCATTAGTGACATAGTCATGTCAAGTGAAGGTGGATGTCGTCGTTTTTTTGATGATGGTGATATTGATAATGATACAGTTTCAATTGCTTCACCATGTCTATATCCATTCATTATAAGTCTGCCAATAGGTGGTGTTATACCACCTGTTGATGAAACACATGATTTTGAACGAATAGCTGCATCACTCGTACGACTAGAAAGAACAGTTTGATTTAAATTCACCGAGTTTTTTGCAGGAGAATAATATGGTATATCACGATAACGAATTCGTAATAATTGTGAATGACGAATAAAAACAAGTATTGAAGCACACCATATTAATAAAACGCATATTACAAGGATTATTTCATGTGTTCGAAGTGGTTCAGGTTGATCATCTATGAGAAAAAAGAAAGAAAGAAAGATTTTTGTTAGTTTTTCTATTAGTGCCATTGAATTTTAATTATAGTATGTGTTTTTAAACATGATGATTAAAAATTAATAGTAGAAAAATATATCTTTGTTTAGTTTGTTTTTAATATTTAATAAAAATAAACAATTTACCATCATCATTATTTTCGACTGTAGAAATACCAATAGTATCATTTTGATTTGGAATTTGCCGAATCCGCACATAGAATTGTTGTGCTGAGTTTAAGAGAGAAACTAGACCTTGAGATTCAGTCTAATAAAAAGAAAAAAAATATATATTAAATTTTACATTATAAAATATAGACATATTATTAACCTTTCCCAATTGATCGTGATGCATGAATTTTAACTAAGTAAAATATGTTTCACATCAATCGATCAATAATCTAGAACATAAAAACAACAGTAGTCACTTGTGTAAAGAGAGACAATTTTTTCATGCGAATCTGAGCACTTACACATTTCTCGGATGGTTGCAACCTTAGGAATGTATATGTAAATGCATTTTCTTATTCTTATTTTTCTTGCTCTATCTCTTCTTTTTCTTTCACTAACATTTCGAAGAAAAAAGAACTATTTACAAGACATAAATAAATGCAGAAGAATTTTTTCTGATTACTCTGACAATATCTACACATTCAATAAACCTAAATAATACTTTACCTATATATTACATACTTCTCACTGCAGAACTTGTCGTATGATTTTAAAAAGGAAATTACAAGAAAAAACTAGGCATTGACTTTAATATTCATAGTGCTCTTATCTTTAAAAATGGAAGAAAAAAAACTCATTATTTTAGCATTCTATGCATTCCTATAAATGTATTGACGAGTAACATATTATTGAGAGTGAAAACTTTGTCATTTGTAGTACTTTGTTTTAATCAAAAAGAATGATTAACTACTGACTACGAATAGTCTCAAAACATATACGACATGTTACTAGAAAGATATTTTCCCCATATATGACATTGAGTATAAAAAGAAAGAAGAAATATGATATAAACTCATTTTTATTTGCATTATATGATAAAATAAAAACAAAATTATCATTTTGCTAAGAAAATCTAGAATCTTGTCTGCATATTGACATGAAAATTTTTGTTTTTATTCATTAAAAATACAATTTTACTTAACTTTATACTATATTTATATAATATGACAGAACTGGATATACTTAGTCAGATTATTATATAGTTAAATATAGTAGAAAAAAAACCGACGGCGAATCTATAAAATATTAAATGAACAGATAAGTATTAGAAATTATATTTGTACTTATAAATAGAATATATTGTGAACGGAGGTCAAATCAATATAGTTTCATTTGTGTGTTAATATTCAATCAACGTGAAAAAATCCAACAAGTCAAAAAAAAGACAATAGAATTCTTGAGTTCTCTACAAGGAATTTACTTTAGAAAATACATAGACACAATAAATAAAAAATATTCCTTATATAGACAATTTACTGTTCTCATGAGAATGTATTTCATTTTTAGCTTCACTGTAATACACTAATTATGATAATTGAGTTCATACAATTATCGTTGTAAATGAAATATAAACATGAAATTTTTTACTAAATAAATAAAAAAACACACAGAATTTTCTTTCGTTATTGGAAAATTAAATATAGAATATCAAAAAAATTGGTTATTTTAGTCTCGTATCTTTAATTAAAAATAGTAAGATGAGATGTATATCATATTACACGAATATAAACCGTATGATATTGTATGTTAAGATGATTAGTAGTGGACATGTTCTTTTTTCTACAAATAACTACCTTGTTTTAATCTTTACATTAGAATATAACTAAACATATTAGTTAATGAACTGTAGATTAAATATTGATTCAACTTTAATGATATTGTATTAAAAGACCAAGTTAAATAAAGCAATACGAGCACGTTTGTAAATAATTAATATCTTTCTTCGTTTCTGAAATAGTCAAAAAATCATGTCTAAGAAAAGTCAACATATATATAGTTTTTTAAGATATAAAACTAAGCGACATCTCCAATAGAATGTATTCCGTTGGTGGATTATAATAAAAATCAAATAATTTAATAATAAAAAAAAAGAGATAGATCGATCGCATCATCCAATTCGATCGACTAATTTTCTTCATTCAATATCTCATTTTACATAGATATATATCGTATATTGTCATTCAATCAATTTTTGTTATTTGATTAAAGTATGTTTTCAAAAAATAAAAATAATATTTAGAATATGCACATAATAAATCGAGATTTCTATTAGTTTGATATCAAACGAAAGAAAAATTATTCCTTTAGTGTATGTAGGTGGTATGTGATAGATGAATTTGAATATAATTGACACGATGTAACCTTTTCTTTTCAATATATTCTTAAAATAGTTTTTGACGAATCAATCATAAAATCATTTTTTTCTTCTTTAAGTACTCTGGAAAAAATTTCATGCATACCTCTTAATTCATATTTAATATACGAACCTAAAACATAGTAATCGAATAAATGATTCATTTGTTTATTTTTGTGTATGTGATGAGATACGTAAGAAGACGAGTTTATGCTATCGATTAAGACCTTACATGTCCAGTGTTAATTGAAAAGGAAATTCTGTCGGATATTAGATACTTCCAAATGATTGTTATGTACAACAGTTTGATGTATCACTGAGAGAAAAGAAAAAGAACAGTTTTAACTCTATTGCGTTTTTTGTTTTCTAGAAATATATATATATATATGTATTTTTCATGCTATATTAATTATGGTTATATTTTTGGAAAGATTAATTTATTATGCAACTAATGTAATCATAATTTTAATATTGAATATAAAACATTAGAATTGATTTGCGTGTTTTTCTTGTAAGTCATGCATAACCTTGATATATAATTTTTTGTTTCCAATTTAATCATAATCAATGTACGTATTAGCTATAAATATCTGAAAGAAGGTTTATAGAACATTTCTATGTATAGTTTATTTATTTCTTATTAAAATAGTTACTACCCAAAAAATATTTGATATATTCAATAGATATAAAAATAGCTACTAATCATTCTTATCGCCTGTCATATCGATTCTTCAAATATTTTAGCATATAATATGAATCCTATGTAGTTTTATAATCATCAACTGATAGGAAAGACAAAATCAAAAAAAAGAAAATTGTGATGAAAAAAAATATTATTGTTATTACCAATCATATATATATATATAAATTAGGTGAGAGAAAAGTAATTGATTTTTATCATTTTCTAATGTCAGTTTTTTTTTCTTGGTGATTTTTTTTTTGCTAGATTATTATCAGTTTATGAAAGAGTAACGTGAGGATATGCTGTTTATTTTACTTAATTGCAATAAAAGAAAATAGATATGTATATATAGATAGACGCATGTGTGATTTGTTTAATGTATTGTTTAATTTTTTTCCACGCAGAACAAGGACATGTTTTTTGCAAATGAAGGTAATTGTTATGAGCAAAATAACCTTGTACGTCTCTTTAATCAACGAAAAAACCGTTATGTATATACATATACGCTATCGATAGTAATGAGCTTTAGGCTGATGTACGTATATTTGTTATACCTTTACTTATTCTCTCTAAAAAGAAATGCCTGCGTAGTATGTTTATAACATACAAACATCGTCTTTACATTTACCTTCATCTGTACAGACTAATGCGTATACAACCATGTAAGCAATGTTTGCTCTATTGTCTTTTTTACTCGGAGTTATACATATTTGTCTCCTTCGTTTGATTATGTCTTTTGATAAAGGATTAAGGCTATTCTAATTTCAGACATGTCTCGATTAACTAAAACGACATCATCAAATAAAACAACATCACCAGCGACAATTACTAATAAAAGATCTCAATCATCTTCATCACTCATATCATTAATGAGATTGAAAAATCAAAGTCGTCGTTCTAACGCAAATTTATCTGATAAAACTACATCGCCATTATCAACATATATTAGTGCATCTAAATATAATTCTGAACAACGTGCAAAAGCTCGTGATATTATATTAGGTATACAACGTAAAAATATAAAATTAATTGCAATCGATTTTGATAATACATTTTTATCAATACATACAAGTGGTTATTATCAAGGAACAGTTGATAGTCTATTAGAACATATTCGATCGACATTTCATTATTTTATTCAAGAAATTCTTGATTCATCAGCATTTGGTCAAACACTTCATGTTTGTATTGTATCATTTTCATCTCAAGAACAACTTATACGAAAATTACTTCAATTAGCATTTAAAACTTCGTAAGTTTTTAAAATTCGAATAAGATTTATTTTTACGTAATTAATTTTTTTTGGTTATAGTAAAACAGATCGAATTATAATTCGTTGTAATACACCTGATTTTGTTGCACATATGAATGAAGATTTTCTTGGTAAAGAATATCATTTATCATCTGTTGTTACTGAATTATCTACACGACGAAATAAAACAATTAAACCAAATGAAATACTTTTATTAGATGATGATGTACACAATATATTAATTGCAGAAGAATTTGGTCATAGAGTACTTGAAATTCGTGATGAAATTAATTTAGACATTCTAAAAGATTTCGTTTATAATATGTTACCTGACAGTTAATTTTTCTATACTTTCAAAAAAAAATGTCATTGTGTGTATTTTTTATGTGTTAACATACATTTATTTTAATCTTAATAGTCAGTCAAAGTCATAAATGATATTTATCTATTCTTCAAATCAAAATGATTAACAATGGAATATATATCAAGATAATTATTGGTATTTATTTTCTAGATTATTATATTATATTTATCGTTTGTACTTTATTCAGTATTTAGAGTTTTAGGAGATAATACTATATCAGATGTAATAATTATAATGAATTAATCAAAGGAACAACAAAAAAAAAAGAACAGAATGTAAAATTTAAATAATTTATTATTTTGAAAAATAAAGTATCTTTTTTTTTAATAATAAGTTTAAGATATAATCCTAATAGAGAAGGAAAAGTAATAGTCTTACAGAATTTTACTACTTAACGAAATAGTTTTGTGTAGAATAATACTAATAAAAACTAGGGTAATGTTCTATATTTAGATTCTTTTTACAAGACTCTATATATATTCGATGGAATAGGTAAACATCTATTTTTATTGAATATTATTGCGAGTCTAATAGTCGTTGCGAAGATATCAGTCTATTTTTTTTTTGATTAATTTTTTTAGACTAATATGTCTTACATATTCGCCGATTTTGATCTACTTCATTAAAATCAGAATCATAACGAAATTATAGTATGTAAAACAAAACATTTGCATCATGAATTTATTCAGCACGTTGATAATATATTAGACAGTATTTGACTAACCTAACCCAGATTTTGTACAATTATTCTTCACTTGTACTAAAAAGACATAACTTCAAGCCATCGTCGGCAAATCTGATGGCACTTAACTATTGAAATATCAGTACTCCTTATGGGAATATTTTTCAATTTTGTTTCATTATGAATACAGTAGTACTTACTGCCTGAAAACTTTGATGTCTACGCTAAATTTGTAATATGCCGTAAACATAAATCAATCTAACGGAATGAGCATTAAATAATTGAGGGTATGAGGATCGCTAGACTTCGCTGTCGATAAATTTAATGTACGCTTGTCTCTACACAATCACTTGCATGCTATGCATGAAGTAGCACACTGGGTATGAGAAGGCATTATCTATTCTGACATATCGATGTGTTTTTGATTAATACAGAATTCAAATATCTTTTTGTATGATGCTTTATAATTTTTCATACATTTATTCATTTTACTAGTGCAATCAGCTGGTATACTATCTGACCAGTTATTTCTATTGTGAAATTTCAATTATTTTTATATATCTGATTTATTAATATTATAATGAATCTCTGCTTTAAAGTGTCTTGATTGAGATGTATTTACAATATGATAGAATTCCAGTAAAAAATCTACTAGTGATAACTGAAATGAACATTTACTAAATACAGTTAGTATACCAACGTATCAAAATATGATTTTACTTATTGATTTTCGTATCAACACAAATATTTATATACTATTCCAAGTTAATGTTTTATTTTCAAACCTATAATCTTTTTACACTTATATTTGTTTCATTTATTGTTTGTCGTTAAACAAAAACAGAAAAATATGTCAATGTTATCTTCAAACAAATGATAACTATGAAGACAGCAACAATCCTGATTCTACTCAGTGTTTTTATCTTTCTTGGTGAATACATCTGTCACAAACAGTAAAAGAACTATAGATACGTATAAAAAAAACATTTTTATCAAGAAGGTTCGAGAATATCTAAGTATATTATCAGTCAAATAAAAATAAGTGTATAATAAACATATTAAAATAAGTGAGTAATCATTTTCATGGAAAGTGTAATAGTAGAATAACGTCAAAATGGACAATAAACTCTACAATCATATAACAACAAAATCTGTCGATTTAAATTTTTTGAAAGTATAAAAAAAGTAGTATTCTATATGTTCAATTAGATAATATTGATTTGGAAATCTCTCAAATTGTTTTAGATACTGTAGATATGATACGAAATCGTTTATTTTACATAGTGTTTTCTGGGTACAAGCGAAGAAATTATCAGTCTATTTTTAAATGATATGGTTATTCGGGGAAAGAATGTTGTTTTTGTCAAAATATTTTTTCTAATTATTCAAAGTCCAAAACGGAAAGGATTTACGAATTAATCATTAGTGTGAAGAAGAAGAAGAACGTGAAATGAATCGATTTTTTATTGATCAAGGTATTGACCTTTTTCCATGGTCACTACTTGCTCGAGGCTTTCTGACAGGAAACCGAACTAGAGCGGATATTAATAAAGAAAATAATGAAAAAACTTCCGTAACAAAACGAGCAGAAACTGATGCATTTAGTCATCAATTATATTATGTAGGTAGTGATTTTGAAATTATTGAACGTTTAAAAAATTATTGTAGACACAAAATATGTTAGACTAGTTCAAGTAACACATACATGGATTTTATTGAAATTTAATATATACGTACCAATAATTAATTAGTGCATTAAGAAAAATGTATTGACTTGTTCAGCTTTTGAATAATAAATTTCAACATTTTAAAGAACTATGTCGACCTCGTTGCATGAGTGGTCATATGTAAAAAAATAAGTCTGAATCATATTGTAAAATTCTTCGTCTTTTTGTCTTGTTGTGATGATTAAATAAATAAATATATAGAATAAGAAACAAAATTTTGGTAGATATTATCTAATCTTCCTTTTTTTTCTCTCTCTCATTTACAATATAGAGATTATGATCATTCAATTTTCTTTTTCATCTTATATAACATGCTTCTCCGTAATTTACATATTTATTAATCAAGTACTTCCTTATCTATATTACTTCATGTATTGTAACAAGCGCCATCTAGCTTATACGTATGTGTGTTATTGTTGTTCTATTGGTGTTGAGAAAAATAAATAATAAACAAACAAATATGAGTTGTTTCAGTCTCGTGTGAATACTATCACAACATAGTGATGTGATATGTGATAAGAAGAAATATGATTTGAGTCAATCAATTCGTTTATTAGTCACCGGTATTAATCTTATCATATGCAAAAAAGAAGAGGTGTATAAATAGAACAAAAAAAAACAATATATGACATTTATATTTACGCGAAAAGAGATATATATATAATTGAATATACGTTTAATAGAATATTTTATTTTCAGATTTAGCCATGGCTACTCAAGCAGGCAATCCAAGTATGTATTTTGAGATTTAAAAAGTCATATGAACATTGTTTTTGCTTATCTAGATATGGAATTATTAATTCCCATGATCAATCAACTTCAACATATATTTACAACAGCTAATGCAAAATTAACATTGACATTACCACAAATTGCAGTAGTTGGTGCTCAATCAGCTGGTAAAAGTTCAGTACTAGAAAATATTGTTGGCCGGTATGAATACTCATGTGTTTTGATTTCATTTGTTTAATAAAAAATAATTTTTTTTTCTAGAGATTTTCTTCCTCGTGGTGGAAGTATGGTTACTAAACGGCCTCTTGTCCTTCAACTGATTTCATCACCAGGCCAAGGTATATTTGAAAATGTACGATAAATTGATAACACTTTGTATGTGTTTAATAGAATATGCTGTATTTGGACACAAACCACAGCAGAGATATATAAACTATGCTGATGTTCGAGCTGAAATTGAAAATGATACAAAATCAGTTGTACGAGATGATATGGGTGTTTCTAATTTACCAATCAATTTGACAATTTATTCACCACATGGTATGAATTCAAAAAAATATTCTATTAACTTGAGTTTAATCTCGAGTCCTACGGGATAGCTTAGAATTCCCCATGAGACATTATTACAGAAAAAAAAACCAAGATGTTTTGAATTTACATGTCAGAATGGATTGTAAATTTTATCTTTCATGACATTCACAAATATGTTATTAAAGATAAATTAATTTGCTTATTTTAGTCGTTAATCTTACTTTGGTTGATTTACCTGGTATGGTCAAAGTTCCATCTCAAGGACAACCAGCGGATATAGTCAAGAAAATCGATGATATTATCATTGAATATATAAGCAATGAAAATTGTCTTATTCTAGCTGTTACACCAGCTAATATTGATATTGTAACATCAGATGCTTTAGTTATGGCACGTAGTCGCGATCCATTAGGTAAACGTACAATTGGTGTACTAACAAAACTTGACATGATGGGTAAAGGACATGATGCTCGTGAGGTACTCTTAAATAAAGTTGTCGTACTTGAACGAGGTAAATATTTGAAACAATGATTGAACAAAAATATGATATTTCTCTTTGTTTAATAAATAATCTAGGATTTATTGGTGTTGTGCTTCGTGGTCCACAACGTCTTGATGAACATGGTCGACCATCAAAAGAATTAGATATTCCAGGTGCACTTGAACATGAACGTCAATTTTTTGCGAGTAATCCATCTTACCGGTAAGAGATAATATAATTCAAAAAAAAAATATAAATGTTTTTTTAATTTTTAGTGATATTGGTGATCGTATGGGTGTTCCATATTTACAACGTACACTTAGTCTTCAATTAACTGAACATATTCTTAAATGTTTACCAGATTTAAAACGAGATTTACAAGCACGACATCGTGATTTAGCAAGAGAAGTTGCTGAGTATAAAGCATCATCGATGTTCGATGTTTCAGGAGGTGGAGACACAAAAGCACTAGTTGGGTAACTAACTCAAATAAAAACTATATATATATATATATATAATTTTTTGTTCTTTAAAGATTATCTCACGAATTACGTGAAGATTTTGATACAGCATTACAGGGTAATAATTTAAAAGAAGCTGATTTAAAAACACTAACAGGCGGTGCACGTATTGCAAATATATTTCGTGAACGCTTTCCATTTGAATTAATAAAAGTACTAACAATAACAGAATTTTTATTAAAAATAAAATACTAATTTTCAATTATCTCTACAATAGGTTGAATTACAAGATAAAGATATGCGTAATCAAACTGTCGTTGCAATTAGAAACATTCGTGGTTTCCGGTAATATTTTATTTGATTATCAAAAAACAAATAGTTGAAATAAAATTTTGTCGCAATTTTAGATCAGGTCTTTTCACTCCAGATGAAGCATTTGAATATATAGTTAAAACACAAATTGCAAAATTTGAAGAACCAATTTTTAAATGCGTCGATATGGTTACATCGGAATTACTTTCCATTGTTCATGAAGCTACTAGCAAAGTAAGAAGAATATTTTAGTAGAAAAAAAAATATTTTTATTAAATCATTTTAGATGAAACGTTATCCTTTATTGCGACAAGCAACTGAAGAATTACTTACACAATATCTTAGAGAAAGAGAAGTGGCTACAAAACATGCATGCAATGCGTATGTTCAAACACAAATTGCATATATTAATACAAATAATGAAGATTTTATTGGATTTGCAAGGTTAGATACAGTGATTTATATAGCTTTATTCGTCCGAGAGTGCGAAATTAACTGCCGGGAGGGCAAAAATCTCTCTTCTGGAGGGGAGGGGGGCAGGGGCACCCTCACCCCAAAAAGCCCCGTGCCCCCCTCCCCTCCGCTGGATAAACTACTGGTTAGATATCATTATAGTATCGGATGTAAAAATTTTTTTCTTCTTTGATTCTCGATTGTTATTAATCATTGTTGAAAAATTCTTTGATCTTTTCCTTTTATTTGACTGATAGATAAGATCACTTAGAAGCGAACGTTCAATTGAATGATTATTTTTATTTTTTAGCGCAGAAAAAACTGTTACTACCGGTGAAACCAAACGAAGTGTCACTAATCAGGTAAATAAACTTGATTATTTCATTCTATCAACTATATCTACTTATTTTACTGATAATATTTATTCATATAAATATAAAAGAATAATAAATAAATCTCGCTTTTATTCTTGTAGGGACAAGTAGGTTATATAATTATAAAAAATAAATTCCTACAGTAGAATATTTTTGTATAATTGTTGTCTTGCTTATAAAAAAAACATTCCTTGAACCCGAAGGAAAAAAAAACATATTTTTCATCACTGCTATTATCGTCAAAACGTATTCAATGCACGCAGCATTATTAGTTTTTTTAATGAAATGTACATATTAAAATAATGCATTGTGACTTTAGGTTATTCGCAAAGGATTTCTTCGTGTTCATACTGGTGTTAAATTATTCCAAGCCAAAGATTTTTTCTTTGTTTTATCAACCGATAATTTATCTTGGTTTACAGATTCTGATGTATGTTATAAATATTTAATATTATTTTTTATTAAGAAACATATATATTCGTAGGAAAAAGATAAAAAATATATGTTACCATTAGAAAATCTTAAAATTCGTGATGTTGAAGGTGGTTTTATGGCTAAACGACCACAATTTGCAATATTTAATACAGATGGAAAGTAAGTATAGAAAAAACATTCTTTTAGGAAAAAATTCTTAATTTAATATATGAAAAATTAATTTTTAGAAATGTTTTTAAAGAACATAAAGCACTTGAATTATCTGTTGATAATAGCGAAGAACTTGATACATGGAAAGCATCATTCTTACGTGCTGGCATTTATCTTGAGCGTGAGCAACACACTGAAGATACAACAGTAAATAGAAAGCTGAATTGATTTAAATAATACTTTGTTTAATTTATAGTCCACAGCTGAAGTGGGTCCAATTGATCCACATATGGAACGACAAGTTGAAACTATAAATAAATTAGTATCATCATATATGCAAATAATTGCCAAAATGACACGTGATTATATTCCAAAAGCAATTATGTACAATATTGTTCAGAATGTAAAATTTCTTCTTTCGATTTATGAAGTAGTTCTTTCTTCTTTGTTCATTTGATTTAGGTGCAAAAATTTGTAGCAAAAGAATTATTAGCGCATCTCTATGCTCTTCCTGATCCAGTAAGAAATCTTATTAAGTTACAGCGTATGTAGTATAATTCTTTGTTTTTTTAGAAATCGTTATTACAAGAATCAGAAGAAGAACGACAACGTCGTGAACAAAAAATTTCAGAATTCGAAGCTGTTAAAAATGTATATTTAATAAGATTTTGATCATTTATTATTTTATATATTTAACTATTTTTAGGCTTTAAATGTAATCGAAAATTTCCATCTTAATGCTCGAAAAGTTGCAGGAGCAGTCATGCCAGCATCTGCAATAGCTGCTGGATTTTCTAGTACAACTGCAAATAATAATTTTGCACCACAGACAAATTTTCAACCGCAAAACAATTTCCAACCCCAAACAAATTTCCAACCCCAAACAAACTTTCAACCTCAAAACAATTTCCAAACCCAATCGAACTTTGCACCACAAACAAATTTCCAAACAAATTCACTTGACACAACATATTTTCAACAACAACAAGCATATGCAGGGTATATAAATAAAAATATTTTCTTTTTTAATTAATTATTATTCTTTTTTTTTGATTATTAGTAATCGTCCTGCAAGCCCAAATCCGCAACGTAAAGGACAAGCACCTATGAATCCGCCTACAAATACATTTCAAGCACGCGATGCACCACCACCACCAATGCGACCTAATCCAACAGCTTTACCTACACCCATGATGCCTCAGTATGTAATCACTATATATCGTATTTTTTTTATTAATCTTTTTTGAAAAACGAAAATTGAATGATATATTTATCTCTCATAACTTAAAATTTATCACACTTATAAGTCTCAATCAGATTTATTCTTACAAAATAAAGTTATGTCAATGACTATTTTGTATGCTAATATATCGAACAACAATAGATCTAATCAAGCTTAATCGAACAACAAGATACTTTTGTTCATTCATGTATTATACTCTTACAGGCGAGTTCAGTACACGGTACAATCATCTACGATATCATCAAATTTATTTGCGGAATTAGATCCTTTTGCGAAACTTGTATATAAGAATAATTTTACAATATTGTCGTAAGTTTAGATTAGCAAATAACTACATCAATTGACTAACAACAACAACTCTAGCATCTCTATATATAGATCGATTCTTTTCTTTAAAAGACTAGCATGTTAAAGCTATTTATTACTTCTTCTGTAAATGCTTATTTTATTTTATCTTTGTTACTAATGACGCACTAGTTGTCAAATACTTCTATTATATTTTTTTACAGACCAGCTATGAATCAATTCGGTAGAGTAAGTCCTCTTCCAGGAGGCTTGCCACCACCTTTAACGCCACTGTAAGTTTTCGCATAAGTAAACTACAAGAATATTGCTATTAATATATCTTCTCTACATGTGTTCGTCCTTCTTACTTTTTTTGCTTTTTGAATATTTTATTGTTATATTGACAAATATAATCCTTGTTTATTCATCAATATATAGAGATATTTTATTTATTTTATAGACGTCCAACACCTTCTGTTCCACCACGACCATTTGAACGACCACCAGTACCACAGCGAAATTAAAATTTGATTAGCATATTATTTATTGTATCGATATTGTCATTTTTTTTTCGTGTATAAAAGAAAAGTCGATTTTCTTCTTTTTGTGCGTCTGTTTCATTTCCATGCAATTCTTTATTATTATTATTATTGTTATTACACCTATTTTTATTCAATATTGACCGTTGCACACAGCTTATTCTTTTATGTCTATTGACTGTAAAAGTGTGTTCCGGTAATGAGCAAACTAATCAATATCATTAATTTTGTGCAATCTAAAAAAAGAAATGCGAGAACAAAACAAAAAAAAATGAGTAGTTTTCCTCCCGATATTTTATTTATTCTAGATATATATATATATAAAGAGAAGATTGTAGATTTTACTGTATTTAATCTTTTGTCTCGCGCTTCTTTTTTTATTTCCCTATTTAAACACAGTCAATGCATGTGCATAACAATATTTTCTTCTTCTTTCTGCATTTCTTCTTTACAATACTAAATGTTGTTTTTTTAGAAATCTTTATCTTTATTTCTATGTTGATATAGACAAAACTCTTTAACGTCTGTGTTATATTTCACTGATGTTTAGTTATTAAGAGTAAATGATTACCTATTTATTTGCTTCTTCTTCTTCGTTTTTTCCATTTTAAACACAGATATTATATATTTTCCTTAATTATCATTCGTAATGTATTGTATTTAGGTTGATCTTTTTTTTCATGACCATGATTTATTTGTAAACCCTGTATTTTCCACGATCATACATTTGTTTTTCAATGATTATATATTTAATAAAACATTCGTGATCCTATTTTATTTTAATTATTCTGTTGTATTTAAAACACGAGATTAATTAGAAATTAGTTATTTATTCATATAAAATTTTTTTCTAAATATATTATATATATCAATATTTTATTATAGATATAAAAATCGACGAATGATATAAATATATTACTTATTCAATTATTTATACGATGAGGTATATAAATAAGAAATGAGTTTATATAAGCAATTAATACACATGTATCAAACAAGAAGGATCCACGTATTTATGGAATGAATTCCGATCGATTTACTCGTGTTAATGGTAATTTTTTTATACAGTATTGATTTATCGATAATTTTGAATTTTTATTTTAGAAAAAAATTAATGTTATGAGAAAATATTTAACATTTTATAATGCGATTGTTTACCAGCAAATACAATCGATTCAATATTATGTGAATCATCTGTTTAAATGATTTTGCATTACAAACAATGTATTTCACTGATTATGCATGTTACAAAATCATAGCATTATGTAATTATATTTCAGACTTTCCCAATTAGATCAATATTTATTATTATACTTAGAGTATAAGCTGTAAATATTTCAGAAAGTTTGTCTGTTTGCTCTGTCTAGAAGTATTTACAAAAGAGTTTGAGCAATTTTATTACTATCAGAAAAAAGGAGATGAAAATTAAAACTTGGCTCTTAAATTATCGAAAAATATTATAGAATTAATGAAATCTCTTCTATTAAAGTGAAATCAGTAATCTTCTACAAAAGAAATTTTAATATTAACAACATTTCTTCTCTCGTAAAAATAAATGTCCAAATATTGCAATAAGTCACGACTCTATTTCGTCTTAAAACCCATGCATTCTTATGTAGACTACGGCTATTAATTTGAATGTATAGAGTAAAGTTACGACATCAATTATTTATTTTTTCCCATGTGTATATAGTAATTTATATCTATTACAAATGTCAAGGGAGAGAAATATTAGCAAAAAAAAATTTTTTCGTTTTCCTACAAATACAGGAACATTGAATTCTAAAGAGAATTGACTAACAAGTATTTATAATTCAGAGAAAAGAATAATTTGTATTTATTTTGATTTAGTAATGAAGCAGTCGATGTTTTCAAATGAAGATATTTAGTGAACTGATGGCAAACGATTATAAATACAATATTATTTTATCAACAAAATCATGATCTGTCGTTATTATTTTTATATACAACAGAATATTCTAATGGTTATCTTACAAAACTTAATTTAATAGATTTTATTCATTCGAACAATTTTGCTAATTATATATAACAAATGGTTTTAAGTATTCTTTTTTATTTATTTGATAATTCATTCTTTCCATTTATTCTGTGCTTCTTAAATGATTTTATAGAGTTTCATGACTTTTGTTCTTAGTTTTTATTTTTATGTTTGTTTTATGTTATGATTTTTAATCAGGAAAAAAAACAATGAAACTCTTTAAGAGCAAAAAAAAAAGAAAATGCAAATGACATTTTTGTTATTTTTAGATGTAAAACATCAAAAGTAAAACATCTAAAAAATCTTAATATAAAATCATTTAATATTAGCAACCATGAAGCTAATGTTTTTTCCGGTGACAATGATTGAAGAATTTCCACATGTTTTACTTTATTATAATTTTACACGTAAAAAAGATCGTTATTTTTTATCACCCTATGAAGTCGATATATCAACACATGGTTCACAAAGAACTGTATGTGATATAATACGTTCATCGGATTTTCTTTGTGGTTTACTTGATATTGATCGACCAACAATAATAAAACAAACATCATCAAACATAACTTCAACCGGTTCAACAACAGTCGATAATAGTTCACCAACGATTAGTGATGAAACATCTGGTCGACGTGCATTATCTTGTTCATCAACATCTGGAAATACAAATTCTAATGATCCACTTTTAACAATGATCGAACAACGATTAGATTTTAAACATCGTTGTATGTTTTATTCAACTGGTCCAGCATCAGATTTATGTGGTAAGTTCGAGTTCTTCTAACGCAGAACAACGAGAAAATTATTTTCTATTTGTAACTAAGATAGTAGAAACTATACTTGCTTTATAATATCGAAATCAGATTATCATAAGTATTCATTCTATTTAGTTTGTGCTCTCGATGTCAATTATAATTCATCGGTTGTATGTAATGCTATTGGTTATTCAAATTTACTAACATATGATGAATCAATAGCACAAAAATCAAATAACGATGATGAAAATGATAGTAATAACGCCAAAAAAACACCGACAAAATATGCTCATAAAATGCGTCATCAACATCGACAATATATTCATCAATGGATTTGTATTCGAGATATTGTTGATGGTTTAATAACATGTAATCATGTACTTAAAAGTAAAAGTATCATGGATACACTTTCAAAAATGGATATCTGGGTTAAACAACGAAATGAACCAAAAGCAATACAATTAAAACCAGCTAAATCTGAATCATCAGTAATGACAACAGCAAATATTAAATTATTTAAAGCACGAGCACGACAACTTGTTTGGGATTTAATGGAAATAAAGTAAAAATAGAAAAACATTAAATTTATTATATATATTTTTTTTTCTAGAAATGAAGTTCGTTTTCCTCGGCCAGCTCATGGTCGTATACCAAATTTTCGTTATTGTGAAGTAGCTGCTGAAAATGTAACTGGTTTAGAATGTTTTAAACGAGCACGAGTTATTAAAATAAATCCATCACTTGCTCAAGAACCTCTTCGTTATTTAACATTAGCTTATAATAAAGTACTTTTAACACCAACACCTTCACTTGGTTAGTACAAATTAATTTATAAAAACTATCATTTTGATTTACTCTTTTGTAGATTCCGCATTATTTTATAAATTAGAACCGAAATTTTTACGTCGAAATCAAATCGAATGGGCAGCAACAAAAACTGGTGTTGCTGAATTAGGTACAGTTATACAATTACAAGCATTAAAACAAATTCATGTTGACTTAATTGTTGTTTCATCAGTTGTTGTTGATCCTATAACTGGTGCTCGTATTGGTAAAGGTAAAGGTTATGCTGATTTAGAATATGCGATTATGACACAAATGGGTTGTGTATCAAATAAAACAATTGTTATAACAACATGTCATGAAAGTCAATTAATAAATGATATACCAAATGATATTATGGAACAACATGATTTACCAGTTGATATTATTGTAACACCAAAACGATATATTTATACGAAACGTTTATTTCAACGACCTACACGTATTTATTGGAATAAACTTGATCCAGATATGATGATAAATATTCCAGTTTTACAAGAATTAAAACGATTAGAAGAACAAAATATTATTAAATCTCAATGAAAAACCAAAAGAAATGACTATATGTCAGATGTTTAATTGATTTCATATATATCTATCTAATGAGATGGGTTGTTTTTTTTTTCTTTCTTTCTTCTTTTGAACAGTGAATTTTAACAAAACAAAGAGATAATCATGATTCCATAATCAAAAAATATATTCCTATAAATAGATGTATCTCAGAATGAAAAAAAGTCAATATATATATATACTCATATTTTTATCATGCGTTTATTTTATTTTATTTTATGTGCACAGATGACATTTTCTCTCTCGCTCTCTCGTTTTTTCTGTTTATCGCTTTCGATATCTATTGTTGTGTATATGTTTTAACATATATATTATAATCTATTATTTTTTTTCTCTGTTGTTATAAATTAATTATTAAAAAAAAAAAAAAACAAAAAGAAATCAAATGTTGTTTTGTTCGTTTTTATTGTTGTATTTAATTAAAAAGAATACGTAATAAAAGCATTTATTTATTTTGTTTTTCTTCAAATTATCTATTTTACTAAGCAAAACATATTCATATCAAAGGAAATATTATGATTAGATAAGACAGATAATTAATCAAAAAAAAATCTTTGTTGTAGACTAAATATAATTAGTCATGGTTGATAAATATGATATATCACGAAATCCAAGTGATTTACCTAAATCATTAGGCATTTTAAGTGTTCGTGCTGGTGCTTCACGTCAACATTTTCTTAGTTTTGATGATAAAAGTTCGGAACAAGAAAATGCTCAACAACACTTAACTGCTAATACTTGGCCAGAATCGATTAGGTAAGACGAAAAAAAAAATTTATACTTATTTATTTATTTATTATTGATAAAATAAAATAATTTTCAGTGGAGAAAAGAAAAAAGAAATAGTGAGTTTCACTAATCATTTACTAGATCTTCTTCTTCACATTGTGTTAGAGTGTTTTACACTATATTCACTTTATTTTGTGTCTATTAACATAAATAACAACCTTGTTTAGGGAGATGTATTTTCAACTGAAATCGATGAAGAAGTCTATGAACGATATACTATAGAAGCTTTTCTACCAGGAAGTTGGTCAAAAGGTAAGTTTAATTGTTTTTTTATCTTTCATGTGATATTCTCAAATCTATTATAGGAGCAGGTTTACGAGATGCATTGAAAGATGTGACTGATAGTCATTGCAGTGAATTGTAAGTTTTATAAATATTGAGTTTAAAGACAAAATATATATTGATATTGTTTGTAAATAGTTGTGATAAAGCTGTTGTAATATTAGAAAAACGTACAAATTATGAATTAGCATTAATTTATATTAATAAATGTATTCTTTTAAAACCATTTCATATTACATTTTATGAAATTCGTTCGGAAATTTATTTAAATTTATGCGATTTTCAAAGTTCCATTTTAAGTTTACAAAAAGGTATTTCATATAAACAAGCAACAACTAATAATCAAAAATCAATAAACGAACAACAAGAACAGCAACAACAACAACAAGTAGTACCAATAAGTTCATCGCCAGTAACTAAGGATGAAAAATTAACAAATGATAAAATTGCTTTTCTTCGATATATTTCTGGTGTTACATTGTATGATCAAAAGCTTTATATAGATGCATTAAGTATTATTGCTAATGGTTCTGACGTATTTAGTACATTTCCATTTCAAATCTATAGGTATTTATATATAATATTAGTCCGAATATACATTTTTCTTTTCTTTTAGTACTCTTTGTCTAACTGCTTTAAATAAAATGGATGAAGCAACTGTATTGATAACTCAAATGATCGAAGAATATCCACAAAATGCTGATCTATTAATTATTCGTGCTCGGCTGTATTATAAAGACAAGGCTAAGGTTCTTATGAAGATATTCTCTTTTATTTATGAATATTTAAGAAGAAAAAAGAGCTTGAATATTTTTAATAGCTTCTTCAATAACTTGAACAGCGTGTAAACAGCTGGTTATAGCTTGAGTTGCGACTGTACCATGCATTGTTGGAATTAAACTTGTAATCATAGTATTGATAATATTCAAATGTGTTTTGAGTAAAGTAGTTATTTTTGTAAGTAATTGTCGGACTTGAGTAACGATATTTCCATTGAGAGCAGTTTGAATAAATTCAAGAATTGATTGTTGAAAGATAACTCGAAATGATTTAAGTTCAGATAAAAGACTTAAACGAGCATCAATTTCTAAATCACGTTTACCAAGTGCTGGAATTACACCACCGAACCATGATGTTACACCATGGATAGCATCTGTAACTGCACCTGTAACAGCAGCATGAGCATTGCCAAGAGTAGTTTGAATATTGTTAACTGTAGCGATAGTACCACCGATAGCATTATCAAGATGTAGTGCAACTGGAGATACCCATGGACTCAGCACATCCCAAATATCCATAAGACCACGTTGTTCTTGGAGAGGAGCACTGGTGGCAAAGGCGCCATAGATTTGGGCGATAGTTAAGACAACAAGAATAAGCTTCATGTTTTCGATTTTCGAAATAGTGTTTTACTTTTTTGAAAACAACCCATTTTTAAATACAACCAACAGATGGTTCTATTCTCATAATTTAATTTCGTCATTTTAGCTCTCACTTTGTTTTTATGATGTTCGTGATGCTCTTGCGATCGATGCGCGTCATCCATTGGCCAATAGTATGATGACAGCTCTTGAAGAAACTGCGAAGAAATCACGTGATTCTTGTGTACGTAATTCAATCAATGAGCGTCTAAATATGGCTTTATCAGCAATTAATCTTTCTATACAACTTTATCCAATTGAAGCTGAATTCCATTTACAAAGGTTAAAAATAAAATATATTTCCTCATCGTAGAATAAAAGTTTTCATACTTATAGAAGTATAATTTATCGAAAAATGAAAAAATTTGAATTAGCAACTGATGAATGTTTATTACTTTTTGATAAAACTGGACACGATCAAGAAAATAAACTCTATCAACAAGCACAAAAACAATTTGTTTTTATATATAATGAATGTTCATTAAAATGTTTACAAACAGGTTTTTATGATGATGCAATTGAATTATTAAATCGAGCACTTAATACTGAGAAAAAATCTGCTGAATTATATATCAATAGAGGAGGTTCGATTTTCCATTAAGAAAACTAAATAAAACTATTCATTTTCTCTTCTAGATTGTTTTATTGCCAAAGGACAAATAACATTTGCTCTACAAGATTATGAACAAGCACTTGAAATAACACCAAATAATAACGAAATAAAATTACGTATTTCAAATGTATTTTTTAATAATGCTGAACAACAATATAAAGATAAAAAATATCAGGTTTTGATAAATTTTTTGAAAACAAGTTTTATTTTTTTTCTATTCAAAAGGAATCTTGTAATGAATTAACAAAAGCTATTAATGTTAATCCATCTGTTGGTAAATATTATGTATCACGATCACGTGTTAAATTTTTAACAGACAATATTCAAGGTGCACAAGAAGATATTATTGCTGCTATATTAATCAATCCATTGGAAGATGGATGTATTGATGTTTTACCAAGATTATTTGTTGATTCATCACTTGGTCAAGTTCTTACTTCACCATTAACAAAATATGTTAAAGAAAACCTATTAAATCAAGGTGTTCAATTAGCGATTTCTTAATTTTATACATAATCTCTTTTTTTTTGCGCTTTGAACAAATAAAATACAATTCATTCATGCATTTTTTAGATTTTTTATAAAGAAAAAAAAAGTATTAATAATAAATGGATCCACCGCCACCAAAAAGAAGAGGTCGTCCGAGAAAGTATGTGGAGAATAGAATATAAATAGAGAGTTTTAATATGATATTTTTGTTTTTCCAGAACAACTAATATTGCTAATGATGAAGTTCAGACAAGTGAAACTAAAACTAAATGTAAGATTATATTTATTCGAAAGAATTAGTTATTTAAAAGTTTTATATTCTCTCAGTAATTGAACCAAAAATTGAAAATTTATTAACAATGGAAACAAATATTGTTCAACAACGAAAAGCAGCGAGAGCTAAACAAAAATGTAAGTTTTTCTTCAAAAAAACACTTTTTGTTAATCGAATATAAACTTTTTTTTGTCATTATAGACAAAGAAGTTAGTAGTGGGGAAGAATATGAAAATGAAGGTGATGATGATGATGATGATGAATTTGAACAATCTGATGAAGATATTGAACCTCAAAATCGACGATCATCAGCTGCAAAACGTAAATCAATAGCTATTTTATCAAAAGATAAAACAGAAAGTTGGGGAAATTATCGTAATACAATTGATAATGGACCTGTTCCACGTAAATATATTTTTATAGTACTAACGAATAATAAACATTGATTTCTTTAGAACATGCATTAACTTTAAATGAAATAGCGTTTGATGTAGCACTTAAATTACAACATCGTAATCAAAATCGACAATTAACAATTGATTATTTAGATAATGAGAATGAAATTGAATTTATTTATGATAATAAAATGAAAGAACAAGTTTTAATTGATACATATCGTATTCAACTTTCTCAAAATGTATGTAGAAGAAGTTTCATTTTTAAATAGAATAATAAGATAGGAAAATATCTGAACCTATGATTTACTTACTATCAATTTCCGTACAAAATATTTAAGAGATTGAGTTTTTACTGAAAGAAGATGTCATTTATCATTCGAAGTAAAATGAATATACTTTTGTTGTGACTTCATTTTTACAGACTATCAAACCTTTGTTTCATCATTTAATTATTAATAGATACTTACGAGATAAATCAAACACTATCGTTATTCCTTGATAATTAAGCATGAATAAAAAAAACCCTTTTTCAAGTTAATTAACACCTCAGAACTATTAAATGCGTGACACGACACCTCCACGCAGTAGTAATGACCATGAAAGTAAAAGTGAGAATGGAGAGTTGGCGAGCAAGTATTGTGTACGGCTATTTAATGTACGTACACTATTATTCTTTAAACAGATTTATAGATCAGAAGTTTTGTTTATATATGTTAATAACTTATATTATAGGTAAACAATACACCTTTAATTCTTCCACCTTTCGAATCTACTGTACATAAAAATAATGTATTTACATTAAATATGGGTATTGGTCCAATACAATCTCTTGATTGGCTTTCAATGCCTACATCAAAATGTTCATTGACACATCAATATTTAGCTGTAGGCTGTTCACGTTCATCAATAATTCCAAAACATTTTTATGATGAAACTTATTCATATAAAAATTATATTCAAATATGGATGTTTGATTTACCAAATATAAAAACAACTCTATGCCCAACAAATCATAAACTTATTTGTTTAATACCAATTAATGATGGTGGTGCTATATGGACATTAAAATGGTCACCATCATGTTCATCACCATCAGCTTATTTAGCTGCTGGAACAAGTTCAGGTTCAATTTATTTATATAAAATATTCTCTCAACAATCAGTAGCATCATATCAAACAACAAATACAATCATTCCATTTTATAAATCATCGAAAATCATTCGATTTCTACTTAATGAACCAAATAATCATACACAATGTTTAGCTATAGATTGGTCAACACATGATCCAAATCGTCTTGCTGCTTCTTATAGTAACGGTTTTATAGCTCTTTTTCATGTTAATACAAACGCAAAACATTTAATTGAAATTGTAATTATATATATATTTTTTTCTCTATGAATTAATTTTATTCTGAATATTTAGAAATCTAATCAAGAAAAAGTTGTTTTTCCTATTCGATTTATTCGAATATCATATACACCAATTCGTGATATTAAATTCTTAAACGATTCATCCAATCTCGTTGTAACAATTGCAAATATTGCAAAAAGATTTTCGTATGAATTGAAAATAGAACATTTTATTTCTTTACTAATAAATTTAAATTTACTTTTTTAAAGTGTATGGGATTTTGATGATCTTCATCAACATTTAATTGATATTGAAAATACTGGTACAGAATCAGTTGTACGATCTTTAACTGGTGATCTTTTATGTGTAAAAGAATTTACACCGTAAGATTTTAAAAGAAAAGAAGTTCAAAATTATTATTTTTTATGTAGATCGTATGCTCGAACAAGTGCTTATCTTGCATATGATCCGGAAAATAATAATCTTCCAAAACATATTTATTTTCAATCAACACCTGATCATGTTTTAAGTGTAGATTATTCTCCATGGCTTGATGCTACTTTACTGTGTGATTCAAACGGTGATACAAATAAATTTCGAGAACTTTTTATTCTACGATTTTATTTTTTTTAGGTTGTGTATATTTTTTTCGTTTAACAAATTTTGTACGATGGACAAGAAAGAATGAATGTTCTTTAAAATATCGATTAGTAAGATAGATAACAATTCGTTTTATTTTTAAGAGAAATTTATTATTTGTTTTAGAAATTATTTTATATGAATGCAATAATTAAGTCAGATAAACAAGAAGAAATATCAAATGGTAAGAACAAAATTCATAAGAAAGACAATCAGCAAAGATATCTTATTTTTAGTTAATGACGAAACTGCTGAACCGATTTTTGAACAATCGTCATATTCAGATTTAGTTGATAAATATTATCTCGATACAAATTTATGTTGTGATGTAATAAATATGAATATATATTTTTTCCGAAAACTAGTTTTGTATTTTTTTAGCAAAAATTTGTTAGTAAACAAGATGATTTTAGTAAAGCTGGAAGTTATGCATTGAATGCTTTACATAAAGTAAAACTATATCTCATATTGTTCTTGTTTAAAATGAATTCAATTTAGATTCGTTTTAATCCAAATCTTGGTTCATATGGTTGGTTTGCATTTGGTGGTGAATCTGGTTTGTTATTCATTCTTCCACTTAATCAATCATGGTCAAATCATGCAATAAATATTTATGAACAAGAAAATAAATCTACATAATAGAATTTCCACTTGAATTCGTTTTCCCTTGTTATGTATATATCAATTATTATTTGTTACTTTTTCAGATGTATTTATCAAAAGTTTTAATTTTTCGACGAACAATTTCTCAATTACCCTACCGTTTATCTTCTACATCATCATCATCAGCTACACCAACGCATACATTTCCTAATGAAGATCTTCTATTCACCGTTAAATCATCGAATGGACATATACGTTCAGGTTAGTAAACTAGTTTAAACTTTAATTCATTTGAATTTACGTTTGTTTTTTACAGCTCTTTACCCATTAAATTCTGCTGATTATCCAAAGCAAGTTTTACCAGATTTACATCTAATAAAAATGTTTCGAGATATTGAATTATTAAAAGAAAATTGTGAACAACGTAATCTAATGGTTGATATCAATCAACTTGCATCCGATTATCAACGATGGGTACAAGAGAAAAAAGAGTATCGACGTTTACGTGATCTTCATCGTATACAAGAAAGATTACGTGAACAACATCAACAAACAAATGATTTAACAATGACAGACGTTAATGAGACAAAAAAACGAAAGAAAAATATGAAATCAAACAATAGCAATACATCAGATGAAACGACAATAACATCTACGAAAAATAACAAGTAAAAATTTGTTTTATCGATAAATTCTAATAACGGATATGAGTGCGGTATTAATAATTTCTTTCTGTTTATTAATAAATCCATTCAAATAAAATTTTATTTTATTCTTTATTTCAAAGTGAATTTCAACATGCTTCTGAAATGATTACCAGTGTTGAAAATTCATGGATTGATTCTGTCGCTCATCCGTCGAAATTAACTGATGATTCTCCATATGCTCGTGGTGAAGCAGTTATGAATGATAATGAATTTAATTCTCTTAAAAATCATTTCGAACAATTTCGTGAACGATTTCGTGTATTTGATCAACGTTTTATTGTTGCTTGTCTTCATTTACCAGCAGCTCAACATATTGCCGTACCTGCTAAACCATCAACAGGTATAACTATATATGAATCTTCTATACCGATTGTTAAACATGCATTTAATTCAAAAACATGGAATGAATTATGTCATGTGGAAAAAAATGATGTATCTATATTTGGACCCTATTGGCTTGGTCCAGTACCAATACGTAAACATGAATTTGTTCGTTTTATATGTTCAGAATTAACAAAATTAGGTTTTCAAGAAATGTCATCTGTTAGTATATCAAAACCATTTATTTATGAAGCATTAGGTGCGAATATAAATGAAAGTCGTCATGTATTAACAACATTTGAAAGTTCAGATGATCCACGTTCACGTTCATTAATATCATCTGGTTTAGGTTCATTAGCATCTATACTTGTACCATTTATACGTCGAACAATTTTACAAACTGATTTACCATATTATGTTTTTACACAAGGTGCAACATATGATGTTAATGATGAACAAACACATAAAATACAATTATTAGCTATGACAAATATACGTGATATACATTTAAAAAATTTTGATGATCCATTAATTGATGAACCAATCAATGATTTAGAGCCAGTACCATCAAATGTATCTATTGAACGTGAACATGAATATAATTTACAATTAAAAAATAGTTTAAATGATAAAAAACCTTATCGTTTTAAAGAAACATCAAGTTTAGATGATCTTTATATTGAATTAACGCGTTTAATGTATAATTTATATGAAAAATTTCGTTTACCATATCGTATACAAAATTGTTCGTCAGATAAATTACGTTCATATGAATCAATGAGACTTGATTATGAATTATTTTTACCAAGTACAAATTCATATGTATGTGTTGGAAGTATATCATTAATTGGAGATTATTTAAGTCGACGTTTAATGATGCGACATAAACGAGTAAAAGAAGAAAAAAAATCCAATAATAATAATAATAATAAAGAAAAATTGTCGGATGAAAATGATGGGCCAAGAGAAACCAAATTTAATTATATACAAATGATACATGTGCAAGTGGTTGATGTTGATATGTTAATGAAATGTTATGTTGAAAAAGAACAACGAAGTTTTTCAGACAAAACACTTCGCGAATTGAACTAAAATAATATTTATATTATTATATTTTTTGTGACATCTAGTCGTAGTTGTTGCTCCAGTTTGCTTTTCTTTTTTCTTTTTGATTGTACAGTGTTTAATAAACATTCTAAATGTTTTCTTTTGACTTCTTATTTGTTTGAGATTAATGTCAATAGATCAAAATTCTTTGATATTATCAAGTTTTTCACGACGTCGCTTATGTTTATCATTAACGAATGAAAATATGAATGATTTCAGAGATTTATTAAATCATTTTCAACAACGTTTGATTGAAAAACAAAAATTATTTGATATACAACGAGAAGATGTACATCATTCAATTAATCGAACATTTAATAAAATTTTTGAACAATTCATTGAGATTCGACGATTTTGTCGAAATGATATTGAACAACAAACATTAAATGCTCAAGTATGTTAAGTATATGTTTCATAGATATTATGAAACTGAATCGAAATATATCATATAGAAAATTATATGAGCGTAATATTATACATTGATTTCTATGAAAGTAGAACAGATTTTAAAAGAATAGAATTATAATTATGTTCGATCTTACGATGAACTATGTATGGTAAAAAGATAAAGCCAAATTCATTCAGATAATCTAGTACTTCACTGATGAGATAAAACTTTAATTTAACAATCAGTCCATATATTTTTATATCAAGAACTAGGGAGACACAGCGGACTTCGGGACTTCAAGACTTCCAGAGACTTCAAAAGACTGTCACAGATTTCATGAGACTTCATGCATGGAGTCTCTGTTGTTCCCTCCTCGTTCAAGAATTCTATGTATTCTGTTTATCAATCTATAATTTCCATAATATAGACTCTTATTTAGATTGAACTACAACAAATGCTTGATGCTGTGCAATATATGCGAACAAAAAGTGATATGTATCATGGCAATACATCAGATACATTAAATTTATTTGCTACTGAATTACAAAAATGTACTGATCGATTATCTAAACTTGTTCTTTCACCTGCACGTGATCTTGATAATTTATCATCATATTTAACAGCATCATTATCATCTATAGCGTCAGATAATCTACCAGAAACACCATCATCACCATCTCAATCTATATTTGAACAAGATATCAATAAGAATATTGTTATTCCATCACCAATAATAACAGTGGATTCAGATAAAAATAGTAGTAGTAATAATAGTACTGATGTGGCAAATGTTAATGATTTAAATCATTTTAAATTTGGTCCAAGTATAGTATTAGCTTTTCCATGTGATATGATTGCATCAAATAAACGTAGTATTCTTTCATATGTTATCGAAAGAAATTTTCTCAATTATTCAACAGTATCTGGTGTTAGTTTATCAAGTATTAAAGTTTATCGATTATTAGCACCAATAACAGCAAATAATGCTCGTCTTTGGGATTTAACGTGGTGTCCATGGAGTAAATTTTACCTTATGTAAGTTTGTTTTTTTCTATCTAAACTATTCAAACTAAATAGCGTGTTGAGCTTTGTAATGTCTAAGATTAGTACAATTTCGATTATCTTATTTTGTTTAAATATTAATCATATATTTATTTTATTTTTTTTATGATTACCTATATTAGTGTAGGTAATTTAGGTCTTTACTCTCTTTGTTATCCATATGATACAAATCCATCGACAATTGAACATGTACCACAAGTAAATAAGTTAGTTAGTTTTCGTGGTCCATTATTTCAACATGTACGTATATCATCTCATTCAACTGGTTGGTATATTTATATGGTTGAACATCAAAATGTTTCTATTGATTTATATGATCGTCGATCAGGTCAACTTTTACGTCATTTTGATAATCATAGTCAACATGATTTAATTCCACTTGGTTTTCATGGATTTTGTTTAAATGAAAATTTATTTGCTATTGTGAAAAAAACTGAAGTTTTATCAACAATTAATAATCCACATCAAACGAAAAATGAACAAAATGTTCAAGTCTATTTTTTTGATCTTGAAACAATGTTATGTATACAACAAATGTCATTATGTCATTGTTCAAATGTTTATGATATAAAATGTTGTTATGAAAAAAATATTTTTATGATACTTGCTGAACCTATGCAACTTATTCTTGTTAATTTAGATACAAATGAATTAATAAGAAAAAAATTATTAGATGAAGGAAAACATTTATGTATTATTAATGATCATGAAGTGTTTATTTTACGTTCTGAATGTTCAATTCAAACACTTCAATATCGAAATATTAGATAAGATAGAATAGATAGAATGAATCTTTTGTTTTGTTTGTGTTTGTTACTATTATTTGTTTTGAAGAATTTCTGAAGAATGTTATGTTTTTTTTCTGGTATTTTTTTGAACAGTTTGTTATGATATAAATAAACGAAAGTGAAAATGAAAACAATTTTCTCTTGTATTTTATTATCAACCTTTCCAAAAATAGATCGAAATAATTTTATTTTATCTAAATATATTGAATTGCTTGATCTGAATAAAAAATATACCCACTAATCATCCGTTGTATACTTTAACAACATACAAATAAGGTTATATAGTGAAAATCTAATTTCTATTAATTATAAATTATGATATTCACTAGGTAACCGTACTATGATAAAGAATAATATAGGTGTCATTCATTGTTAATGTATTGCGAATGACTCACATAGCAACTAGATGAAATACTGAAATATACATTGCCATTTTTTCTAGATTATATATATCGATTAAAATGTCAGATATATTAACATCTTATTCATCATGTATGTATGATAATCAGCTTGATAATAAGATGTACCCGTTTTAGTACAGTTTGGATTTTATATAGGTCATTTTTCATAAACATAAATTAGTCGAAAACTTATTATTAGGCTCATAGTAAATATCAGATCTATCAAGTTCAACGAATACTAAATTCGTGAGTTTCTTGCAATCAAAATGATGTTCTATTTTATATAATTCATCAATAATCAAGTTCATGATAGTTCAAATAGTTGTTATTGTTCTTTGTAGTTTTTTCATAACCTTGTAATTTATGTCTAGGAATCTAAAGATTTGTTTTTGTTTTTAGTAACAGAAGTGTTTTTTCTTTATAACCATAAGATTCCTATTTTTATTCTTCCTAAACAAATATTGTTATCTAAATGATAACAGAAACGCACACCATATTTCTCAAATTTTGTTAGTAATAAAGATATATCAAGATGAAAAAAATCGAAAAGACAAGATAGTAATCGATATGGACAACAACGATATCTATTATGATACAGCACATGATTTTATAAGTTTTTCTGGTATGATAAATCCCTACTTTTATCATCATTGGAAAAAAGGTGAAGTATTTATATCCTACTTTTCATATGTTATTTATATTTGAAAAATAAAAATACAGAAAAATAAATGACATTCTATCGTGCCGATCATGCGTAACGAGAGGAAAATATAAACAACACAACCTTGAAAAGGTTTAATAAAATTATATAAAGCAGCTGATAGAATATTAATTTTTGTGGCTGATTTAACTATTGATAATGATGAGTTTTATTTTAGATTCATAGAATCTCCACCAGAATGATGATCAAATTATTTTTGACAATTCTAGTCATCTTACAAAGTAAGGCATACGATACAGTAAAACGTGTATCTAATGAAAACACTCGACCAATAATTGGTAAATAATAAAAGATAATTGAATAATCAAATATAATATTCTTATATATAAAATAGGGATTTTGAGTCAACCAACTCCATATGATTGGCAAAAACCAAATGGTACTACGTATATAGCAGCTTCCTATGTGAAATATGTCGAAGCAACTGGTGCTCAAGTTGTACCTATTCTGTATAAAATCCTAGAAATATAATAAAATAATGATTTATATTTTTATTTATTTTCAAGAATGAATCAATCCATCGAATATTATTCACATTTATTTAATTCAATCAATGGGTTTGTTAATAAATAAACACACACAATCATCTTTTTTTATCATTTTAGAGTACTCTTTCCTGGTGGTGATTCAACTGATGAGTATTTGTATGTTGCAAACCTTTTCTATGTTTGGTCATTAAAAGTAAAATATAAGAATAATTTTTATGAAATGATTTGTTTTCTTCTAGCAATTTGATGAAACACAAAGAGTTTTTCCTATATGGGGAACATGTCTTGGTTTTGAAGTATTACTCATGTTAACAAGACGTTCAACTGATGTTCTCGAGCCATGTAAAGGATATGATTTTGCAACAGAACTCACTTTTACGCCTGGTATTACCCTTATTTGATTCTAAACTGAATTTTGATTCATTTTTTCTTTGTCTAATTATGAATAGATGCAGCTAATAGTCGATTATTAGGATCATCATTACCATTAAGTGTAAAAAATAGCTTGGAAAATGAACCAACAACAGCAAATTATCATAATTTCTGTATCCGACCAGAAGTAAGAATTACAAAAGTTTAATTTTAATTATGAATAAAATATTTATAATAATAAAGAATTTTACAAATGATCCTGTATTATCAACATTTTATAAAATGTTAACAATAAGTCCTGATTTAGAAGATCGAACATTTGTTTCAACTATGGAAAGTAAGATTTTCTAATTCTATTCTTACAATAATAATGAATATATTTCTCTCTCTCTTAAGGTCGTCGTTATCCAATTTTTGGTGTTCAATGGCATCCAGAAAAGAATGCATTTGAATGGCGAGTAAATACAACTATTCCTCATACAAAAGATGCTATTGATGTTATGCAATATATGGCAAATTTTTTTACTAATCAAACACGTCAAAATACAAATCATTTCGATTCATTACAAGATGAATTAAAATATCTTATATATCAATATACACCAGAATTTATGGGTTTAGATGTATCACATTTTCAACAAATGTATTTCTTTTATAAATAATATCTTCTAATAGAAATACTATATAAAAACAAAAAAAACATATTTTTAATATTTTAATTTTTCAATAAAATGATCATCAGTTCTATAAAATCGAATATTTTTACTTATTCTTAATGGCCATGTTACAAGACGATAATAACCATTCATTATATTTGGACATATCTTTTCGAATGGTTGCATCCATATCCACCATGGTGTTAATAATAATGCGAAAGGTATAATAAATAATAATAAAATAAACAAAAGTATAATTCGATATATCCAAATAACCATAGTAACTTTAGAATTTTGTGTACTGATTGATGATATCGTTGAACTACTAGTGTGTCGTGCCCATGAAGTAGACGATTCAATACGACGAGACATTTGAAATATGTTTAGACTGATGGCGCTTTTTTTTTAAATTTTTTGTTTAGTTCAATATGGTTAGTATATGATACTAAAATTGAACTTTGATAAATATTCGAAAGATCTAATTACCAATAATATATTTAGACTGATAATCATGATGATATACTTGAATTTCCTTTACGATTAAGTAAATTATGTTTATCAAATATTCGTGATGATAGTGCATGTATATCACCCGTAGCTATCGAAGCAGCATTTCATGCTTTATCATTTTCCAACAAATCAAACAAAAAGATGCCAATTGAATATTATAATTACTTTATTATTAATAACGATTCTATCAAATCACTTCGTAAAGATCTTAATGTATGTAATATAAAAGTTTCTTTTTAAAGAAACAAATGTATTTATTAGGAAGAAACTATGAAATATTTCAATACAGAATTTCAACTTCATACTTTAGTTGATTATGAAGAAAAAAAAATTCTTTTAAATCAACTTTTAAAACATGTCTTTGAACAAACATTTCTATCATCACAAAAACTTCTTAATCAAATAATTATCGAATCAATGACTTTAATATCATGTAGTTCATTAATTTTTCGACCATTTAAAAGCGAACATTGGGAACAACTCTGGTAAAAAACATTTCGATTAAATATTGTTATTTTGATTAAAAATATAGGTCATTAAAATTTCATACCAATATTGATTTATCTATTGAAACAGAATTTTATTATACAAAAGGTTTTTTTCGTGTTGCTTTTCATAATACATTTCATAAAATTGAAATACCTGGTCAAATCATTGATGGAATTCAAATGAAATTAATTATTCTACTTCCAAGGTTATTTATTTAATTGATTAAAAAAAAATTCATCTTTTTATTCTATTCTATCTGAGATGTTCATCTGATCTTGTTCATCTATATGCAAACATAAAAGAATATCTTAATCTACCATTTTCATCAGCATTTATTGGTGTTTGTATACCAAAAATTTCCATAGATATCGATATGAATTTAAATGAATTATTGAAAAATTTCAATAATTCATATAATCTCGGAGAATTCAATGAACAAATTCATTTATGTATGTCTTAGGAAAATGAAAATCCTGTTTTATTTAGTTTTGGTTCTATTCTAGCGAATGCATATTCTTTAGGACGTTTTATTCTTGATATGAATATAGATAATCCTAAACAAATATTAACACATTCAATTGATCTTTCACCAGTAACTCCATGGGTATTTTTTGCTAATCGTCCATTTCTATTTCTAATAACATATGGTGATTATTATTTATTAATTGGACAAATGTTAGGTCCTAAAATTGGTCAAGAAAGAAGAAAAAAAAATTTCTAAAGAACGAAACTATCATTACAATATAAATTTGAATTACATTGTCTTGAATAAGAAAGAAAAAAATCAATTTTCTTCATTCTAATTTAAAATAACCATAGAGAGAGAGAGGGAAGGAGAAATTCTTTTTCAGTCTTTTTAACCAAATGAAGACTATTGATTGTTGTTATTCACTTCATTTTTATTACTATTACCTCTTTTCTTTTCAAACATTAATCAAACAAGAAAAAAAAAGAACGAGAAACAGAGAAGTAAAGACACCTTTTCTTTTCTACGACAATATTTTAAATCGTATGTGTGACAAATTATGATGGATTCATCATCAAATGATTCACGCTGTGAAATGTGCTCATCGATAAATGATAAAAAATGTTTTTCTTGTGATCATTGTCATTTATTAATGTGTTATGATTGTTTTCAAAAACATACAAATCAATTAATTGAAGAATATTCACAATTACGAAAACGTTTTTTACAATTAACAAATTTAATTAATAATAAACGAGAATTACTTGTGACATTTGAAGATTATTGTATACGTAATGTTAATTCGGTTTTTGATGAAGTACTTAACGATTTACAAAGTTTTCGAAATGAAAGTATTGATTATGTTAAACAACATTTTCAAGATGCTAAAGTAAGTTGTTTTATTTTAAATAGTTTTCAAATTAAATAATTTCTACTAGATTATTATATCAGATATGATTACTAATATAAAACCATTGACAATTAAATTCGAACAAGAATCGATTCATGATAATAAGAATATCAAATTTGATTTCGATAATCAACATAAACAAATTAATACGATAGAAGATTGTCTTAATCTATTTTCTTCACCAAATATGAAATTAAAAATGTTTACGTATCCACGAAATAAACTTGATTTACATTGTCAATTATTATTAAATTCATGTACAACAATAAATACATTTTCTCCTTCATCACTGGATAAATTAATCTCAGCACAATGTTTATATAGTCAATCGAACGAAAATGAAAATAAAAAAATTATTGTTGATACAGAAATTGAAGAATTTAGTCAAAATATTTATACAACAAAACAAATACAAACTGATTCTATGGTTGAATCGAATTGTAATACAGATAATGATGAAGATGATGAATTTTTTTCTTTACAAGATGAATTAAGTAGTGAACATTATTTAAGTACACGTTATGTTTGTCAAGGTACAATATTAACACATAATGAAGTTGATCGTATTGCAAGTGATGGTGAACATTTGCTGTATTTTTCTGATGAAGCAAAATTACTTTGTTATGTTACAAATATTTCATCAGATAAACAAGTAAATGAAATATCAATTACAAAAGAAATAACATGCCGATGGCCACATTATCCTATACTTGATTTAGTTTATTCACCATCGTCATCACAATTTGTTTGCGCAACACGAAAAGGTCTTTATACATGTGCTGTTGATTCAAATAATGATGATTCAACTATTGATATACAAATGCAATTAACACAACATTGGTCTTATGTAAGATTATCAGCTGATAAAAATTTCTTATGGCTTTGGACGGATACACCACGTTTAAGTCAATTACATGTTTATTCACCTAAAACATTTCATTGTATAAAAATATTTAATTTAAATGATTATCAATGTTTTTCAAATAATAGTACATCATTTTGTATACAGAAAAATGTAATTGCAACTGTATTTCAATTTAAACAAATGATAAATACAACAGTATATAAAAAAAAATTTCATATTACATTTTGTGATAGTACAGATTTACATGAATTATGTACAATACGTTTAGGTGAATGTGATATTGACCATGAAATTCGTGCGAATAATGATGGAATTTTTTTTCTAACAAATGGAAAAAATCTATTATGGATTGTTGATCGTCATGGAAAAAAAGAATATGTTAAATTATATCGTACTGGACGTGCTTTAACAATACATGGAACAAATCAAATATTAATAGCTAATGGTACACATCAATTACAATGTGTTGAAAACTTACAAAATGTCTATAGAAATATATAATACTATTTTCAATAACCTTCGAAAAGAATAAAACCTTATTAGTATAGTGTAATTTGATGAAATATACATAATACATTTATGAGTTTGATTAACTGACATGTTTTCTTTTTGCTTGTACAAGATATTTAAGGTATAAAAGAACAAAAAAATTCATTTGATATTAAGTACTTGTATATAATAGAGTGACACTTTGTTTAATGATTACGAATAGAGCACTTGAAATGATTCATTTCAAGATGAATAATATGTTAAAAGAAGCTTGTTGAATTACATTTAGAAAATTTTTAAGTGAATGACACATCTTTTATAGTATAACGCATTTTATTATTCATTTTCAACAATCGGTCGCATATACAAGCACACATATTTCATTTCTGTACACTTCTATATACAGTACAGGCACAAAAAGAAAAGCAAATAATTATCTATGCTACAACAAAGAACAAAGTGAAAGAGAAAAACAAAAAAAAAGTTCAACTATGTTCACTGTCGTTAGATTCATCCGATTGAACACGATTTAATACACGCGCAGAAAATGTCTAACACAATACAGAATAGCAAACAAAAACAAAAAACAGAAAAATGAAAGGTAATTAATACACTATTATATTTATCTCTTAATTTCTCGATCGTTGTATCATACTTAATACTTTTTCACTATCATTATGAGTAAAAGTTTTAGGATTATTTTGCGTTATTGTATCAGATTTTGTTTTTGATGAATGTGATGATGATGATGAGGGTGATGATGCTGTTGAAGACCAATAAGCAGTATCATTATTTGTGGATAGAGAAGGATATGATTCATTTGTTTTATTTTGAAGAAGTAATTGTAAATTTTCAATTGTTTTCGATGGTTTAGAATCAAAACCATTCGAATAATTTGTTTTTGTTGATTCACTTTGATCGTTATATTTATTTTTATAATATGATGAATTAACACTAAAATATAGAAGAAAAAAACAACATAAAACCTATAAGATTACAATTGTTAATACGATACAGAAGCAAAGATTAAGTATACATATATAGTCTATGAACAATAGCGATGACAAATATACATCTTGTAAGTTTTTATTAACTAGAAAAACTTATTTTCTACAAAAAATAAGTCTTTCTACTATATAAAATCTTTCAAAGTTCCGTGAGAATGATATCATATATATACAAAAATACAAAACATGCACTCATATCCATCACCATTACTCTATTTATTAATTTCGAGCAGAATTTATTATTGAATTATGAACTAATCTAAATTAAAATATGATAATCAAAACGTACGAAGAAAAAAAATTATACAAGAATTAATAAAAATATATCTGAACCAACAACTATTGCCACTATAGGAATGTTTTTTTTTCTACCAAAAATAAAGTATAAAAAATATATTATTGATGAAAAAAATTAAATCAAAAGTTTAATGATTATCTATTCATTTAGAACTGAATTTTACAGAAAGAATTATGAATCCTAGAGATTTAATCGATATAGAAGGGAACACTAGAAGATTTTCTATATACATATTAAAATAGAACCTTTCAAATGAAAACTAATGGTATTTGATAATGAGCAAATTGATCTCTAAAAACAAGAACACATATGGCGGATAAATACAAATTATGTGTCTTAATTAAATGTAAAAGAGATAGTTGTAATTCAAAAGAAAACATTTTAAGATTAGTTATAATAGATTTAGATATGATTAAACCTATGGTTACATCTCTATTTAATAAATTGAATGATTCTTATTTTTTCTTTCTTACTTTCTATCTGTAGCAGTTATGGGAGAAGCATTGTGACGACGTACTGGTGGTGATTTTGTAAACTTAAAATCCATAAGTGCTGGTGGTGGTGTGGGTAATACGTTCGCATTTGCAAAACGTGGATGTTCAGCAACTGATTGATGATTATAATTAAATCGTTTATGACGTACAGGTTGTCGTTGTTGAAGATGCTGTACACTATTCGATGGAATTAACTCATTTATATTACGTTGATGATACACTGATGATAATGAATTTCGATAAGGTATCTCCGTAAACATTTCATGTCGATCAGATATTTGATTCGAATAATTTTTATGATGTTGATGATTAGATGAATTAAATGATTGTTTTCCTTGCTGTGATCGACGACGATTATTAGTTGATGATGAACTTGATGATTGGGAATATTTTGATGATTTCTTATTTGATTCTGTTGATGATGTAGAATTTTTAATTGATGAACTATGTGAATTACTTGGTGATCGTCGTCGATGACGATCTTTTGATTTTGAACGTGAACGAGAAGGTGATAATTTTGTTTTTGAATTATCTGTTGTTAATACACTAGAACTACTATTTGAAATCGTTCGACGTTTTCCATTAAGATCATTTCGATAATCACGATCATTAGTAATTGTAGGAACAGTAGTTTTAGATTTAATACCTGAATCATTTTGATTAATTTTATCATTATGTTCAATTTCATTCGTTGTATTTGTTGGTGAAGAAATTGAATCAACTTTAATACGTTTAATTATTGGTTCTTCTTGTATATTTGTTTGATTATCTTTTGATACATCTATAGTTTGTTTTTCATCTTGATTTTCACTTGATATTATTGATCGATTGGAAACTAATGTTACTGTTCGATTTGAAGATACATTTTTTTGTCCTGATTTATCATGTCTAGAATTATCTGATGGACGGGTATAACGTTGAGAAGAATTCGAACGTTTTGATACTGAACTTTTTTTATTCGTATTATTATTATTATTATCATCATCATCATACGATCGTCTTCGTTGATTACGATTATCATCGGAATGTTTCGGTTTATTTTGATTTTTAGTTGGACTAGATGATTTTGATATATAAGCTTCTTTTGTTAATAATTTAACAAATTCATCACGTGATCGATTGGAATCATTTTTAACTAAAGGTATAAGAATATTTTCATTATCTAGTAAAGCTTCATTTATAGTTAATAAATGATTATCATTAATAGGACTATTTTCACTAGATGAAGATTCTAATTGTCTTAAACATGCTTTAAGAACGGCTTCTTCTGTAGGAATAAATTCTTCAGATTTAGTTGTTATAAGTATATTTGATACTTGAGTTTCTTTTTGTCGATATTGATCTAATTGTTCTAATAATTTATGACAACGATCATTGTAATTTGGATCATTAAAAATTTTATTTGGTTCATTGGGTAATGTTGGAATGAGAGTAAGAGGTAGAAGTGATTGAGTATAGACTGACATATTCGTAGTTGGTAATGGTGGTAGTGACAGTGGTGGCGGTAAGGGTGGAGGTGGAGTTAATGCTCGAAAACGTTCATCATGATCATTTAATCCTTGAGAAGATGGAGAATCAATATCCATATCAATAACAGAATTGATATCTTTGAAAGAAAAATGAAACTAATCATATTTTAATTTATTTGATAAAAATTACCTTCAATTGTACTAGGATTTTTCTCTTGATTGATTTCATTAGAATTTATTTGATATTTTTCAATAAAAACTCCAACAAGTTCAGCTAGAAGATGTTTTACATGAGAACGGTTTTCATTTTTATATTCCCGAGAAAAAAAATCTAATAAATCCGATGACATTGTTTTATTCGATGATGTTATTGATACTTTATGTTCTTTTAATAATTGTCTACCATTTGTAACATATAATTTTGTATTTACTCCTGATGTTGATGATGATGATGGACTAACACTTAATGATTTTGAATTCTTTTTTTCATTGATATGTTGTTGTATTCGTCTCTGCCGTTTTTCACGTAAACGTAAACGTATTTGTTGAGAATTTAATTGTTTTTCACGTTGTATTAAATCATTTGATATTTCAATTTGTTCATAAGCTAATCTATTTTCATTTTGTTCTAGATCAATATAAAGTTGATTATCTGTTGTAGATTTTATTAAACCAAAATTAAAACAATCAACAACTGATACACCTAAGGATGAATAATCAATACCATTTGAATGTTTAGTAAATTTATGCATATTATCAGTATGATTATCATTTAATGAACGTTCATATTCATCATTTGATACTTCATGGATAACATATGGTACAAGTGTATAACTTGTTTTAGGTGGTAAACCACTTTTTGGATCATAATAATGATTAAGACGTTTTTGTTGTTGTAAAGCATGTTTAACAGATTGAAATTCTAAATAAAATATATTTCGAGTTTGTTTAACTGTTTTTAAACGTGGATCAATTAATACGACAGAAGTATTTAATGGTATATAAATGGATGAAGTACTTCTAGTTATTAAAACAAATTCATCTGAAGAATTCGATTTTGTTGATTTTATTGATGGTGAACATTCACTTTGAGATCGTTCAAGTAATAAATGTTGAGGAGATAATGGAATAGTTTCTAAAGATATTTCACGTCTTGCTCGTAATAAACGGGGATCACGAGTAGTGGATATTGATTGAACACAGTTTGTTTGTTGATCTTCTATATTTGTAGATACTGTTAAAGGTGTATTTGAATATAATCGATGATATGGAACCATAAAATGATTAGGATATTTTGTAACAGTTGAATCATTTGTAGTTGTATCCTGAGTAGGTTCATCCCAAGTACCAGAATTTAATATTGTAGGTTTAGCTGGAGTTGAAGATATGGGTATTGTTGATCGATCAGATGTTTTAGTTTTTATTGTTGGTTCTTTATTTGTTGTTTTACTAGTACGACGTTGAGATTCTTGACTGGGTGTAGATTTTATTGTAATTATGGATAATAATTCTGGTGAAAACTTTTCAGTAAGATCATACCAAAGAATAGCAATTGGTAAAATTTGCGGTGGACGAGAAACAGTTTCGAAATTTTCATGTTCATAACAGAAGATCTTAATAAATAAATGAAATTATTTAATAATTATGTTCCCAAAACTTACCAAAGAATTTGCTAATAGATCATCAATATGACGTTGTTCTTTATTTATTGATTGAATTTTACAAAAATGATGATCATAATATAACTGTGCCGATAACTGATTATTCGTTTCTGATGGTATAGTAGCATAACCTTTTCCTAAAAGGATTTTACAAACAAGTAATCCAAATCTATAAAGTCCCTGAGCACCAGATGAAGTTAGCAGAACATCTGGACGTTTTGATAAATGAACACCATCTTTTGGATTACCGAGATGTTTATCAATAGGAAATGATAATTGTTCACATTGAATACCATTATTTGCAACATTTAATGCAACATCACGATAAGTAATTAAATGAAAAGCTAACCGTTCAATTGGATCTTGATCTTTTTTCATTTTAATTCTTTTTTCACTAAAAAAAAAGTTTTATTAGAATAAAATATTTAATTTCTTTCGTATTTTACTTGTATAATTTTTGTAATTTTTGATTACGTATTGTATCACATGATTTACATCCATTTGGTCGAAAATCAAATTGTGCTTCTAATGCACATGATTTAATATCATCGAATAATTCAGTTACATTACGACTATCAGGTTTTTCGGATATAACAACGTCTTTGAAAAAAAGAAAATAAATAAATAAATATTATTTTATTACTTGAATTAATATATAATACTTTTAGTTGATGTATGAGTTTTGGGTATGATAAATGGTTTTTTACTATCACGATCTTCCATGTCTAAAAAGAAAAGAAAAATGAACTTCTGTAATTTTAAACGTAGACGAACGAGTTGTAGAAAAGAAAAAAGGATGACTTAGTGTCCAAAAAAAACGCATTTTCTTCATAGAAAGAACACAAAAGGTAACAACCACGTGACTCAGTTTCTTTTGTTTTTTTGGGCAAATGAAATCTATTGTCTGTCAATTATAAAAGATTTATTTTATTTCAAATGAAACAAGATATATATAGACAAAAGATTATTTAAAATCTTTTCATTATATGTTACTATTGTCTTATTTAACATTTTTTTAACAATAAATGTTAGTAGAAACTATATTATGCATCGTTTAAGTAAATTAAAAGCATATGCGCCATGGAAATATTTGATAAAAGAACAAAAAAAAGAAAAAGAAAAATTACAAAAGTTAAAAATTTACCTTGAATAATATATATTATTTAAATCATATTCTATTTAAATTGGGTTAGTCGAATTGAACGAATGAGAAGAAAATCTTCTTATAAAATAACAAATCAAATTGAATTGACATAAAAAAAAATGTGTTTGACGTATTAAAAAAAATAGAACCGAGGTCAATCTGTGATGTTTCTTTCTTATATCATGATTATACATAGGTCACCATCACAACCTTCTTGTTTATTTTCTTTTTTTTCTAATCATATATCCAAACTAGACCATTCTGTTGAAATATTTCAGTGATAAGAAAAGTAAATAGACAAATTTTATAACGAACAGAACGAAAAAAAAAGTATAAACTGTCAAGGATTTTTATTAGCGACAACTATAGAAAAACAAAATTATATTGATTGGTTATTTTCTCTTATCAAATATATCATCAAGCATATATTTATTTGTTATTTAAAATTGAAATTTTTAATTATTCAAATGTCATCTTCAGAAGAATCAGATTCATCTTCATATTTTGAAGATATAGATACTGAATCAGAAGATGAGGAGAATGTATGTAAATAAATAGTATCTATATTTCAAATATATTTTTTCGTTTCGTTTCTAATAATTAGATAGCACAAATTACGTCTGTTCCTAATGAACAATGGGTTAAATTAATTGAATTTTGTTCGTATAAATCTAAATCTGAAGATTCTATTCGAAGAAATATTGGTGTAGAAAAATTATGTCAAGCAACGGATGTTAATTTTGGTGATAAACATAAAGTTAGAGATGGATGGATTTTACATAATAATAATTCGGAAGAAATTTTAGTTGTTTCATTTCTAAAATCAATATTTATCAATGAAATACATATATATGAAAGTCTCAATCCCGGCAGTATTACTAAAATAGAAATGTTGGAATCTATACCAAGTATGAAATTAATCATGGAGAGAACTAAATGAGGAATTGGGGTTTGAATTTTCGTTTCTCTTAAGATAGATGGTGGACTATGTGGCAACGAAAAACTTCTCCAAAACAACAATCACTAACTCACAATATTTTCAAGCCATTACTACGACGATATCGTATTTCATCTAACACTATTCGTCTTACTATTGATCCAAAATATACTGATCAAATAGGCATTCATGCTATTAGTATAAATTAATATATTATTGATCGAAATATATCTTTTTTTTTTATCTCATAGAACTTCTTGGTTCAGATGTATTCGATGTAACTCTTCATTATAAACCATTAATACAATCAATGAAAGAATTATATGAACAAGCTCTCAATAAAATCAATACTGATGTACAATTTACTTTTAATGATAAAATCGTTTGTGCACATCGAAATATTCTCTGTTGTCGTAGTACATATTTTCATTCATTGTTATTAGATAATTTTATTGAAAAATCTCAACAAAAACCAATTGAATTAACTGATGTTGATTATGAAACATTTCTCGAAATATTATTTTTTATTTATACTGGTGCATATCATCAAACAATATCGTATGATATTGCTATAAAAGCTATGATATACTCAAATAAAATTAATCTCTTAACAGCAACAAATCTAGCTATAGAATATGTATGTCATTATTTACAAACAAATCATGATTTTATTTTACCAGTTTATTATTCTGTTAAAAAAATGTCACCCGAATTTGATTCATTATTAAATTATATATATGATTTATGTTCAGAACATCTTAGTGCTATATGTAAACAAACAGATTTCATTGAACTTGATAAAGAATTAATGATTGATTTAATATATCATTCAACTGAACGACGTGATATTCGTGAAAAAGAAAAAAATAAAGAATTAACATCAGTACATGTGAATTTTCATGATAATGATAATGATGATGATGAAGATGATGA